GATCATAAAGGACAGCCCGGCGTCACAGCTGCACATTCGGAAAAACGCAGACAGAAAAAAGCAAAGAGAAGAGTAAATACCGGGAAACCGTGTGCCAGAGACGGCATTTGTGTCCCCCCAAAATGTGCATGTTGACGCCATGACCCCCACTGTGAACATATTTGGAGGCAGGGGCCTTTGAGGGGTGACTAGGGTGAGATGAGGTCAGAGGGTGGGGCCCCCGTGATGGGATTGGGGCCCTATTAAGAAGAGACGCCGGGGAGCTCTCTCCTCCATCTCAGACCTCCCAACCTGGGGGGCTGTTTGAGCCACCAGGCGGTGGCATTTGCTCTGGCACTGAGCAGACGAGGACACCGTGTTTCCTCAGGAAGACTCGTCTCCCTGCCTCGGACGTCTGAGTTTCCTCCTGCACAAAGGGGTCCATGTCGTCACCGTCAGCCTCTTCAGCAGCTTCAGCAGTGGCCAGCACTTCCTGTCCTGAACGCCTTGCTGGGACAGGCCACTTTCTCTTGGTCCTGGAACAGAGGGCTCTGTGGTCGACTCTATGATTCTTGCCTGTGGAGCTGAGAAGACGCACAGGTGGCCCTATACCATGGGTTGTCCAAATACCTCTCACCCTGAAGTTCAGGAGGGGCGTTGTGCAGGCAGCTGGGACTGAAAGGGAGAGGGGCCAGGAAGAGCATCTGAGCATCCCTTTTCTCACCCGGAAACCGGGGGCCATGACGCCTCCCTCGTGGGCAGATTGGAGGTTTATAGTCTATATTGAGCATCCGGCAGATAACAGACGCTCAATGAGTAAGAGCCAGGATGGTGACTACCAGGAAGCTGGCTTTAGAAAATAGTTGGAGACTCAGCCGGTCATAAGCACGTGTTCTGCTTTCTCCACACCCTTCTATTCCTGCCCCATAACCGAGTAACTCGGCACCTGCCTGGGGAGGGAGGGAGAAGGTCCAGGATGCCATGGGAGTTGGCAAGGGAGGAGACACCCGTGAGAAGGAGGGGTCTGGGTTGCAACGTTAGGGGAGGTTTTTGGCAGATCGCCGTGCATGACCCACTCCAAGAACGGGTGTTCTTCAGAGTCCCGTGTTCTTTTCACTCCAAGGGTGACACCAGCAAGTGGCAGTTTAATTTCTGAAGAACAGAATGTTCTGTGGATGGAAGAGGTCAGGGTCAAAGAAGGAGGCCTCCGTCACCCGGATGGAGTGGAATAAAGGCAGAAACAGGTGCTCTTGAGGAGGAGAGAAACCCGAGCAGAATCTGCGTGGCAGGGGGACTAGAGTGAGGGCAGCGGGTGGGCTGTGAGCTGGCAGAGTCCAGGGTGCAAAGGAGAACTGAGCAGCGAGGGAGGTGGTGGGAAAGGGGCCCCTGGAGAGGATGACTCTCTCTCCATGCCGGGGATCCCAGGAGAAAAGATCACTCTAAAAGGACCCAATCCTTCTGTTCAAAACAGTAAGCCAGGTCCAATCCCATGAGGAAAACCCTTCCTGGCTGGTTATCCGTTCGGCGAACGTGCACCCGCCTGTATGGCCCTACGCCAGGCTCTGGGGCTGTGGGGCCTCTAAGATATGGCCCCTGCCCATGAGGGCTCGCAGTCTAGGGGGGGAGGCAGGCAAGCGCTACATGGTGGGGAGTTCCCACCCCAGCGATGGAGAGCGGCTCTGCCCCGACGACTCCTTCCCACCGAGGCTCCCTGGGCAGAGTTTGCAGGCACCAGCTCGGCAGGCTTCACCTGGAGGCCGCGCGGTGGGGGCGGGCTGGGCACAGACCCTCTGAGCTTGGTGAATGCGTCTTGCTCTGTTTGGACTCTGCGGAAGGGTCTTCCCACAGATGCACGTGGGGAGGTCAGCAGCCCTGGCCTGCCAAGCTGTGCTCCTTCACGAACCTGATTCACGGAGGCAAAAATCACCACAAGTGATCGTCCCACTGAGCAGCTGAGAGCGCTGTTTGCTAACAGTGAGGCTGAGAATCAGCTCCGTGTTTCCTGACCCAAAAGCATTCCCGTGGTTAGATGTCGTCAGCAAGGCCTGTGGGGTGGCTGAGCCCCAGGCCCCTCCGTCCTGCCTCCCCTCCCCGCGATGGGCTGTGGGCAGGGTGGGCCAGGTGGGAGAGTAGAGGGAGGAGGCTGGGAAGATGGGAGATGCTGAGGTGGTTGAGGAGGAAGGGAGAAGCCAATGTTCATCTCAGAAGCACAAGGCCAGGCTCCTTCCAGGTCGGCCCATCCTCCTCTGGCCCACATGCGGAAAGCACAGTGGCAGTGGGTCCACGCGGGGGCCGACTTCCTTTCCACCCAGCAAAGGCCTCTAGGGAGGCACAGGGAAGAACTTCATTATCCTTGAGATTCTGTACCGAGACGGAGGACAAGGAAGAGCCGAGGAACTCCTGGTCTGAAACACCAGGAAAAGAGGCTGGACCCTCGTGTACCACGAATGGTGGTGGCATTAGGCTCAACAGCTGTCCTGACCGACACTCTGGTTTTGGGTTTTTCAAAACACAGAGGCCCTTTGGAGATGGACATGGGTCCCAACCTCTGAGTCTCCTGACATGCACTGAGCAGGGGTAACCCCTGTCTTCATACCCAATATTTTTGCTTTGACCAAATAAGGACACTAGTGACAATGAGAAACATTTAGGAGAACTCACGGGGCATAAGGACTGACTCCAGATGTAGGCTGGGAGAGGCAGGGCAGGGACGGGGATGTTCTGCCAACTCTGATCTGTGGAGATGCTGCCCAAAGATTGGGATTTCCGGGCCAGAAGCTTCCCCGGCACTTAGAGGAAATCTTCAGGCTGGGCCTAGAGCCTGGAGAATAGAGGCTAAATGAGGGGGCTGTTTGGGTGGAGGGGAGACAAGGAGAGGGAATGAGGAAGTGCTCCACCCCAAGTCCCCTACGGCCCAAGTCCCCGATGGCCCGGGGCTCTCCCTCCTGCCTGCCCGGCAGAGCAGGCTCCTCCCAGCCAGCTCCAGAGCCACACTCCAGCGCTGTGTTTGCTCACCGGGGCTGGATGGAGTGAATTAAATGGGACGAAATTGAATTGCATTGGGAGGAAAACTCACTTTAAGAAAAGAAACCAAGAAAAAAGTCAACAATAAGAAAATCCCCCAAATCAACTGAGGGCGGGTTGATGCAAGTTGATTGATTCGATCCATCTCGTTTTGTAACGACGCCTTCCTCTGGCGGTGCTTCCAGCGTCAGCGCCTCCTCAGAGCCACTTTGCGAGCTATGCGTGGAAATGTGCCAGAAGTGGTTTTTGGTGTTTTGCTGGGGAGGGAAAATGTCGATCAACAAACAGAGGCTGCAGCCGGGCCTCTTTGTGCGAGCATCCCCCTGTGTGGTTCAAGTTCAGCCGCACCGTGGCCCACAGCCCTCCCTGCTCCGGCCGGGGGCACCGGGGGAATTGCCCACGGATAGGGCCATCTTGATTTGCACAAACTCTAGCCGCATGCCAAGCAAGCTCTATGCAGTTAAATGTTCTGCTTCCATTTTTCATTCTCACTTCCCACTGAGAAGGGTGCTTCTTTCCACCTGTGGGCGCGAGGGAGGGCAGCCCACGGGAACCCGGCTGGGGAAATCCAGCTGTCCCAGTCACCGGTGGTGCCGTGGCTTGACCAATTTGCACCTCAACTTTTTCATCTGAAAAATGGGGATGGCGAGAACCATGCCTGCCCCTTAGGGTTGTGAGGGCTGAATGGGGCCAACAGTTGTCAAGCACCTGGCACGTAAAATGCGCAGAGTAAATGACAGCAGCTGCCCGTGCTTTATGGCGATGTTGATGATTGTGGTGGTGATTTCTCTACAGCCCGAGAAAGAGGCCCAGCCTGGCTGCCTTTTGATTCCAGAAGCTTTTCTCTTGTTTATGCTAAGTTAGAAAAAATATACAGACGGTGGCGGGGGGTGGGGGGGAATGGGGTGAGGGGGGACTGCTTAATGGGTGTGTGGTTTCCTTTCGGGGTGATGAAAAGGTTCTGGAACCACATTCTCAACACTGTGAATGTACTTGATGCCACCGAATTGCACACTTTGAAATAGTTAAAATGGTAAATTTTATGTTATGAGTATTTTACCACAACTAAAAAAGATGTGTAAGGTATGTACGCATAAAATGATGAAAACTTACTAAAAGAAAGAAGGAAAATTTAAGTCCAGAAAAGGCACATGATACACACACACACACACACACACACCCTCATTTCTAATCTCCAAAGCGCCCTAAGAGAAAAGGGCAGGACTAGGAATCCAGACACACGTGTGTAGGCCCCCAGTGCCCCGTGAATCCGCTGTGTGACTTTAGGCAGGTGCCTTGATCTCTCTGGCCCTGGGGTCCCTGCATTATAAAATGAGTAAAGACTTGGCCCCTGCTGGTCTGGCCTCAGCTCTGAGCTGCTGCTGCTCATGGAAGCTCCTGGAAGCCGCACATGTGTTGTTTGGCATTACATGCAGGAGTGAGAATACATTCCAGGAATGAGAATTCTCTCATTTCTCTTTAAGCGACAGCAGCCCGTCCACCTGTGTTCCTGCTGTCCTTTGACTGATATTAAAATAGATTTGCACGCCACGACCCCACACAGGGTGAGCCTGGGGAGGTGGCAACAATCGCCACCATCCTCAGCTAGCCGAGTCCCCACTTTGTGAACCTCAAAACCAGGAGGGGGCGTGGGAAGAAGAGGAAAGGGACATCCGAGTTTGGGGCGAAGGGAAGAAAGGGAGAAAACACAAAAGAATGTCCTGAGTTCCAGAGAAAACGAGCTTGGACAATCCAGATGACAGGCCGGCGGCGCTCTGTTTTCCTTTGTCTCTGCCCATTAAATCATAGGCGGACCGCCAGCCGGCTGGCGGCGCAGACAGCGGACAGACAGGCTTCACCTGGGCAGGTGTCCTGGGCCCCCCAGGGAGATAACGCTTCCTCCTCCAGACTCCTAGTCAATGAGCAAATAGCAGCCAGATGCGCGATGGCGACATTGATTGTAATTCTCTCTCCTTTCTCTCTTTTTCTTTTCTTAGAGAGCCCACAGTGCCTCGGGAAAAATTGGCTGAATAAAAGGTATAAAGACTTTCTCTTTTTTTCTCCCTGAATAGTTCTTGACAGATATGAGCATGTTGAACATCTTGTGAGCTGCTGACAATGAATGCCAGCGGTTCTGGGGTTTCCCCTTTGCTGGAGGGAGGGAGGGAGGGAGGGTTTGAGGGGCTGGGTTTGGCTTGTCTAGCATGTCCCAGGACATCTCCTTTGTCGTCCCCAATGGGCCGGCTCCAAATGTCATGGCACTGGGAGGCCAGAGGAGCGAGAAGGAAGTGAGGGGACAGGAGTTTGTTTACAGGCGACATTGCTTAGCAACTCCGACTGGCCAGAGAAGCAGTATCAATTCCTTCCTGGTCCTTCCCTCCTCCTCTCCCAGCCCTCTCCACTTTGCACCACTGCCCCCCACCCAGGTCCTCAGTGCACAGCCGTGCACCCCCTGGACTGCAAGGCCTTTGGAACCCAAGGGCGGCCCCAGCTCCCTGGCCCAGGGTGGTCCAACTCCCCTCGATGGCCTGGTCTCCTCTGGGAGGGGGCTGCAGAAATTGGCTCAGGGTGCAGTGATGACCCTTGAGAGGGGACTGGACACTTCTGACCTGGGCCCTTGGGCCGCGTGCTCCTTGCAGCCAGCTCTCCATCATAGCCTGCAACTGGGCTGTCCTTTGTAGAGTCACTTGCAGAGTTTTACTCTGGGGGAAAAAAATCATTATAAAAGTAATGTATGTTTGTCGTGAACAGAATTAGAAAATGCGGATTCACCACATATTTGCAACCCTGGGCCCCCGCGGGCTTCTCCTGGCGGGCTCCCGGGTTTCGGGCCACGCGTGCACAGGACGGCAGAGCGTTTTCCACAGATCAGAAATAGAGAGAAAAGCCGTCAGGGTGGGAGGAGGCTGACGTCTTCCCGAGCCAAACGCTGGGAGTTTCACGTGGCAATGTCTTTTGTACTGTTTTTGCCCCGAGCCCACCCGTGGCTCAGAAATAGACATTGGCTGAATGGAGCTGGACCCAGCCGGGGAGCTTCTGTCCTGGAAGCCGGTCGCCACAGGGCCACACGGGGCTGTGTGGAGTGGCCAGCTCGGGCCCTGCTCACTGGCTTTCCGTCAGGATGGCGACAGGGTGGCAGAGGTCAGGGGTCCTCTTGATGTGGCTGCGGGCGATGCAGGACAGGGTCCCCAGCGAGTGGCCCCCCGTCTCCATCAGTGTTCGACGCGGTTCTCCATGAGGGAGACCAAGCAAGTGCAGCTGGCCTTGGTCTCATGCCCTCCCCCAAATAGCGACCACAAGGAGGGTCTTGCTCCACTCGGCAGCACTCACGGAGGCCGTCTTTGTAAACTGAGTCTTGTTTTACCGGGAAGCAGCCAACGGAGTCCTCAGGTGAATGTTTGCAGGAGAGTGTCCCTCTGTGCTGTAAGGGGTGGTCTGGGGACTGTCTGGAGCGAGCTGGGGTTTCCGCACACTTGTTTTCTTAAGCAGCTTTGTGAGGTACGATGCGTATTTAATCAACCTCGCATATTCAAAGTGTGTAATTTGATCGATTTTGATGTACGTTTATACCCAGGACATCAATGCTGCAGTCAAGATACTGAACATGTCCATCCCCCCCCGAAGTTTCCTTGTGCCCCTGTGATCACTTCCCAGGCTAGCACTGACGTGCTTGCCGTCTCCATAGAATAGCTCGTATTCCTGAGAGTTTTATATAAATAGAATCAAACCAAATGTACTCTCTTTTTTGCTTGGCATCATTCACTCAGCATAATTATTTTGAGGTTCGTCCAGGTTGTGGTGTATATTAAGAGCTCATTCCTTTTTTACTGCTCAGTAGTATTCCATGCTGTGCACGTTCCAGCGTTTATCCATTCACTCCTCGAAGGAGATTTGGGTTGTCTCTAGTTTGGGGTTAATACAAATAATAACAAATAACCCCTGCCCAAGTCTTTGTGTAGACACATCCTTTGTTCTCTCTTGGATAATATACCCAGAATTAAAATCGCTGGATCCCACCGTAAGTGCAAGTTTCACTTTTTAAGTAAATGCCAGATTGTTTCCCAAGGTGGTTGTAAATTTCACATTCCCACCTGCCATGTGTGAGGATTACAGCTCTGCACCTCACCTACGCTTGGTGCTGTCGTTTTTAGAGTTTTAGCCGTTCTAATAGGTGTGTAGGAGCATCTCATTGTGATTTTAATTTGCATTTCCCTAATGACTGACGGGGTTGGACAACTTTTCATGTGGTTGTTTGACATCCATACATCTTCTTTGGTGAAGTGTCTGTTCACATCTTTACCTGTTTTTTAAATTTTGTGTTTGCTTGTAATTGTTGAGTTTGGGGAGTTCTTTGTATACAATGGATACAAGTCCTTTACAGATACATACTTTGCAGATATTTTCTTCTAATCGGTCTGTCTTTTCTCTCTTAACAATGTCCTTTGAAGAGCTGAAGTTTTTAACTTTGATAAATTCCACTTTATCAATTTATTCCTAATGGATCATACTTCTGATGTATCTAAGAAATCTTAGCCTGGTCCAAGGTCACAAAGATGTTTTTCTCCTAGTCTTTCTTCCAGATGTTTTATAGATTTTATATTCAGGTCTACGATCTATCTTGAGTTCATCCTTGTGAATGGTACAAGGTACGGACTGAAGTTCATTTGTTTGAACTGAATCTGTCCATTGACGTCAATGTTACTTATTAAAAAGACTGTCCTTTCTCCTTGAATTGCCTTTGCAGCCTTGTCAAAAATCAGTGGTCACATGTGTGTAGGACCATTTCCAGACTTGGTTCCATTGATCCATGTTTGTCTTGATGCCATACCATACCATGATTATTGTAGCTTTAAATAAGTCTTGAAATCAAATAAGCTTAGCCCTCCATCTTTGTTCTTCTCTTTCAACGTCATTTTGGCTATTTCAGGCCCCTTAAGTTTCCATATGAATTTTAGAATTGGTATGTGAATTTTTTTTTTAAAAAATGCCTGCTGGACTTTGATCAAGATTGCATTGAATCTATGGATCAACTTCGGACTCATAAACAAGGTATGTCTCTCCATTCATTTAGGACTTTTTAAACTTCTCTCATCAATGGCCTGTAGCTTTCAGTGTAAAGGTCTCGCACATATTTGCCAAATTTACCCTTAAGTATTTCATATTTTTATGTTATTTTAAGTGGTATTTTTCTTTCACTTTCGGATTGCCTGTTGCTAGTTATGGAAATAAAATTACTTTTTTGGTTATTGATCTTGTATCCTGCAACCTTGCTAAACTTACCTTCTAGCTCTAGTAGCTTTTTCTGTAGATTCCAGCAGATTTTCTACATATATGATCGAGTTGTCTATAAATAAATATAGTTTTACTCCTCCTTTCCGCTCTGGATGTCTTTTATTTCCTTCTCTTGCCTGTTCCACTGACTTGAACCTCCAGTGCAACGTTGAATAAAAGCTGTGAGAGTGGACATCCTTGTTTTGTTCCCGATCTTAGAGGGAAAGCAAGCCTTTCAGCACTGAGTATGACATCGGCTGTAGGTTTTCCGTAGCTTCTCTTCTGTTCCTGCTTCCCTTCTGTTGCTAGTTTTCTGAGAGTTCTTGTTAGGAACGGATGTCGAAATTTTGTTAAATTATTTTCCTGTGTCTGTTGAAATGATCAGATGCTCTTTCCTTCTTAGTTTGTTAATCTGATGAATTACACTGGTTGATTTTCAGACTTTAACCCAATATGGGTTAGGCGTAAGTCTATCATCTCACTGTTTTGTTTGCTTTTCCCTTTTTTTTTTCTTTATTCCTTTTTTCCTCTTTTTTGCTTCCTTTCAGATTGGGTTTTTTAAATTATTATTATACCATGTTATCTCCGTTCTGGGTTTTTAGCCAGAGCTCCGTGTGTTGCTATTTTGTTGCTTTCTTTAGCGTTTACAGTGTGTGTCTTCAGCTAGCGATGCTCTGCCTTCAGGTGATGCTAGTCCCTTCACTCACGAGATAACCATACTTCCATTCCCACTCACCCCCTCCCCGCCCCGGCGGGTGGAAATTGTTATCATCCATTTTACTTAAATATATATTACAAACTTTACAATACATTGCTATTATATTTGTTAAAATAGTGAATTATATTTTTTAAAGATTTAGGTCATTAGGAAACAAGCCGTCTATTCGTCCACATAGTTAACATTTCTGGCGGTCTTCATTCCTTTGTGTGGCTCCAGATTTCCATCTGGTACCATTTTCCTCCACCTGAAGGGCTTCCTTGAATATTTCTCATAGTGCAAATCTACTGGTGATAAACGCTTTCAGCTTTTGTGTGTCTGGAAAAGTCTTTCCTTCAACTTTGTTTTGGAAAGATATCACTGCTGGGTGTAGAATTCTACACTGACAGGGTTTCTCTTCAGTCCTTTAAACGTGTTGCTTCAGGCTCTTCTGGCTTACGTGGTTTCAACGTCTGCAGGCGTTCTTATCTTTCTTCCTCTGGACAGAATGCGTCTTTCTTCTCTGGCGGCTTCTAAGACTTTCTCTTTATCACTGGTTTTGAGCAACTTGCTCATGATTTGTGTAAGTGTCGCTTCTTCATGTTTCTTGGGCTTAGGTTTGTCGAGCTTCTTGGATCTGTGAGTTTGTATCAGATTTGGAAATGATTTCATTCATTGTTTTTTCAAATATTTCTTCTACACCCTCCACCCTTTCAGGGACCCCCAGCTGCATGTTTATTTGGTGCGTGAAGTTGTCCCACAGCTCACCGATGCACTTTTCAAATCTTTAAATCGTTTTTTCTCTGTGTGTTTCGTTTTGGATAGTTTCTATTGCTGTGCCTTCAAGGTCATTAATCCTTTCTTCTGCAATGTTTCATCTGCCATTAATCTAGTCCAATGTATTTTTTTCACCTCAGACATCATTTTTATCTCTACAAGTTCAGTTTGTGCGTTTTTTATATCTTACATGTCTCTACTTAATTTTGGAACATATGCAATACAGTTATAGTAACTTACTGTTCTTGTCTTCTAATTCTAACGTGTGCCAGTTCTGGGTCGGTTTCAAATG